TCCGTAACTTTGAGCAGCTACTGAATGAATGGTCGCACGTCAAGGTCTACCTGTTGTTCACAATGCCAGCAACATTCTGTTAACTTGAAAGTGCTACTTTGCTTAAAGTCCTGGGCATGAGACTTGCCCTGCGCCCTACTTGTGTGGAATAGTCTGTCTTTAAGTTTGCAATAAAATTCTGTCCTTATTTCTTCCAAAGTAAGTCCTGTTATATTCCTAAAGCACACTCCAAAGTAATGTAGGCCAGCAGTGATGATCATCGCTTCAGCTTCCAACCAGTTTCTAACTTTCTGTCTCTAGGTAAAAGACTTAGTTGCTAGAACATACAGCAAATGGCAGCAAATGATACACAGTTCTCAGCTTATTCAGGTATGGTACAATTATATTTTTGTACAAATTATGACATATTATCAGTTAATAATAATGGCACAGAAATCAAACTTTCTGGAGAGATTTCTTTTTGCCTTTTAAGAAGTAGAAACAATATAATAACTGGAGAATGGAGTAAAGGGATGTGCAGTGTTGGATTTAGACCAATTAAGTTAATTTTAAAGCTGTGTTTACATGTCAATAAATTTCCACTAATTAATTTAGAATTTCAAATCTGTTTTAAATATGTATATTTTTCCATCTAATTCCTTTGACAATCTTTTATTATAGGGTCAGATCCATGACTTTTGGGTCCCAGATACTTAAAAAATAGAGGCTGGATGATCAAATGACCAAGAAAATGAGTGGGAAGACTACATTATTGTCTAAGAAGAGGCATTCTTATAAAGTGCACTTAACTTCCCCAATTACTTAATTGGGCAACTTTAGTAAACTGTATTTTTTAAAAGATCCATTTAACATTGAGAAAATTGCTTCTTTCTACATGATAACAATATCTGGTTTTTCTTAAGTCAATCTAAATGGGGATGAATACATTTTTTAAAAAAAATCAAGGCAGGATTATTTTGTCCTTTTTACAACAAATATGGTTCTTCCATTCCTACTGTGAAGCAGAATTTAAAAAACATCATTGGTATTTGTATACAGTATTGAAGATGTGTCTCTGGTGACTTTACAATAGTATCAGTTATATGGATGTGGCTTTTAACTTGCATTATTAGCATATCAAATTAGTTTTTGAAATGGGAAGAAACAGTAATTTGATGGATGACACAAAAACTAGACCTATAAAAATTGGAAAACACTTTATTATCTTAGAGTTTACTTCCAAGTAAATTTGGATAGCTGTAGCTTTATAGTTATAATAAAGGGGTTAAGAAATCAGTCCTAGCGAGTCCATATTGTTCAAATGTTAAAGATTGCTGGTTGTTCATACCTAACATTCAGGTATTCATAGATATATAGTAATAAATTGATGCAATAACTTGGTCAATCTTTTATAAAAGAATTAATGTATTCCTCTGTTTTATATTAGCAGTCCGAAGCCCTTCTAGCTTGATGGCCTGGCACCAAGGGTGCTTGTGCTTGCTACAAAGATCCATTTGCATGAGCAGAGAGGGTGCTTGCACTCACTCGTGAAGCTCCACTCAAGCAGAACTTCGTGAGTGAAAGTGCCATCCACTCTCACAAGTGGAGTTTCACACACACCGGCTTGCCTATTTATTCCACAGTCCAGTTTCAAACCAGACCTGGGCCTAGAGGACCCCTAATTTATATAACTTTGGACCATGAATATGTATTGACATGGACATAAAATATATAGTCCATAAATTTCAGATTTAATATTAATATAAATGTATGTATATACATATACATGTGTAAATACTGTTTTTGTGCAGTTTTAATTTGAAAACTTGCACTGCCATACCTGTAAATAAAATTTTAGAAGCCATACAAATTAAATGCTTTAGAAATAGTTTACATAAAATAATTGACTTTTATATTTACATTTAAATCAAGATAGTCATGTCAAATAAATGGCAAAATAAATGGTATACATTGCTATTATCTAAGTGTGTAATAAGCACCGATAAATCATTCAGGAATTTTATTTTTATTCAATGGATGGTGGTTTACGTTTCAGAAGTGTAAATTTGATTCTGACTTTTAATGCTGTTGAGAGTTTCCTTAATTCCAATATAAACTTTTTAATGAAAAATGCAACTTTAGAAGGAATATGTTGTTGTTGTTGTTCAGATGGGGTACATTTTATTGATTCTTCCTGCATTCTGTGCCTAGGGTACAAATAATTCCTGTGCGCAATTAGAAATAATTTTTGTTCTCATGAGATGTTGTATACTTCCTCTGCATTCTCTTGGCTGCAGCACCTTAGATTGCATTGAAGACTATTCTAGAAAGTGTAGTAACTGCCAAGAGATGAATGCTTAGGAAGACAGCTATCCTAATAGAAACAGCCTCATCTATCTGTATGGTCATAAAGCTTAGACAGAGACTCCTGCTTTGAGTCTCCAAACTTGGCAACTTTAAGACTTGTGGACTTCAACTCCCAGAATTGCCCAGCCAGCATGACTAGCTGAGGAATTCTAGGAGTTGAGGTCCACAAGTCTTAAAGTTGCCAAGTTTGGAGACCCCTGACTTAAAGTGTACTTTTGAATGAACTGTTGTGCCAAATTTTTAAAGAGAATACAGAAAATAACATTTCAATCATAATGTATATTGTGTATATTATGTAATGTGTATATATAATACACATGTACATTATGTATATTGTGTAATATCTATTATGTGAAGAAATACGTTTTTTTTCTTTTTTATAGTTTTTAAAGCATGCTCAGATGAAACTTCCAATTTAATTACTTTAAGTGCAAGAATAATATCTACATTAAGATTGATTACATCTCTAAAATTCACAGTAAATTGCAAATATGTCATCCTTAGTATATTCTCAAAAAAACAACAATGGGTATAATGAGGACAGAATCCCCCTTTTGCAAAAATAACATTTTAATTGTAGGGCCTTACAGCATTTGAGGCTAATTCTTTCCAGTTGTTTATATTCTTAAATATTAAACAACAGGCATGTTAGTATAATTCTTACAAACTCTGTAAGTGTAATCTCTTCAATAAATGTTATTTATAGATCAACTTCTCCAGCTATCTAAGTTTTTGGTACTCCTAATATTAAAAGTTTTGTTTTGTTTTGTCTTGGATGTGCATTTTATTTATTCAGGTTGCACAACCCAACTTGAGATTTATACAGTATATGAATGTATTGCTTAAATGGAACTTAAGTTATAAAATATTAAATTCTTGCTTTAACAAGGTATGTGAACTAGGCTTTATGTTTTTCACAAACCACGTATGTTCTAAGAAAAATTAATCCAAAAAGTAGAGAACCATAAAACAATGAAAACACAATATATTAGCTATGGTTGTGCTTTAGTTTTCTTAACTTTGTTATCTTCATGTGTGTTGGACCTTAACTCCCATAATATTCGTGTTATGAAAGACCAGTATAATATTCTGATTTCAAGTCTAAATAATACCTTTAAGCTTTTGGACATAAAAATAAAAGAATAATTGTTGGACACTAATGCAAAATACAAATACTTATCAAAGTTCAAAAGCATTGTAGGTGTAATTGTATACTTTGTAATTGTACATAACATACTGAATCATAAATCAGCCAGGGATATTTTAGCTTAATGGATCCTGGACAAAGCTGAACAAGTAGATTGATTTAATGATAGCGATGTTCCCAAACTTTCTTTGACTTTCTTGGGCACCCTTAGTATCTCAGTAATATTTTTGTGGGATACTTAGGACAATCACATTAAGTAGTAACATAAACCCTGGGGTGCTGTGATGTAGTTTAGGAACTGCAGTAGTAAGATATGATTAAATTTTATCTTACTTAGATCCTATCAACAGCCCAACTCAGCAATCAAATAACAAAAATATAGCATTATCCTAATCTTTTCCCTTGTGAAGACCTCTACATTATCACCAAAATCTTATGAGAACTCACACATACATTCGCGCCCGCCCCCCCAACCCCAAAGTTACTATTTTCTGTATCTAAAATGAAATAATTCTACCCACCTGCCTAGGAAGGGAGGAAGGATAATAACGCTCACTGACTATTATTGACCAGCCTATTATAAGAGTCACCATGGAGCCGTGATTAGAATGCAGTACTACAGGATACTTCTGCTGACAGCCAAATGTCTGCAATTTGGCAGATCAAATCCCACCAGGCTCAAGGTTGACTCAGCCTTCCATCCTTCCGAGGTTGGTAAAATGAGGACCCAGATTGTTGGGGCCAATATGCTGAATCTGTAAACCGCTTAGAGAGGGCTTTAAAAGCACTGTGAAGCGGTATATAAGTCTTAAGTTCTACTGCTATAAGATTCAGTTTTTTAGTTTGGTTTCGGTTTGGTTTGGTTTATAATAAGATCCAATTTAGTTTCCAGTTGGACATGACTGGAAAGGGAAAACCTCCAGCTTTATAATAAGATCTCAGGCTGGGAATCATTGTTACCTGGACACATTTTTCATACTGTTACAGTACTCTAAAAAGTAAATTGCACATTTTGGTCCCAACCACCAAGATTATAACAGAATCAGCTACAAGCATTGATGATATTCCAAATGTCTTTAAAACCCTGGCTGTTGCTCAGGCTTTGGATAGAGTGTTCCAAGTAGCCCTATAGGTGATGATTGTGTCAGAGGGAGTGGGACACACATGATTTATTTGCTTTTTTTTTACTTTTAATTTAAGCTGCCCAAATTTCAAATCAAATTTGTCCTATAGTCATAGACCAGCATAGCTGCCAAAGTTGTTTTGGAGTCAGGCAGCCTCTCCATCTGATACTATGCAAGCAAGCAACTACAGAGAACAGGGCTTATACTAATATACTAGTATATTAATAATATACTACTGGAAGTATATATATGAGGGTCTTCTAGGCATGTTTCCATTATTGTTTTTATATAATAAGAGTTAAAATTAAGGGAAAGATTCATAAGTGGAATGTTAGAATGTCTTAATGATTTTATTCCTGATTTCCATCTGATGCACCTTTTTTCTGTTCTTCATGTATTTGCAAATGTTAGTGCAATTTTAAATTATGTACATGAAATTACAGTTCAGATTCTTGTGCACATTTAATCTAAACCCATAGACCCAGAAAATTTGTGAATGCATGGATAAAATTTATAGTGATGATTTAGACCAGACTTCAGTGGATTTATTGGACTATTAGTATCAAAACTATTCTAGTTATTTCTTCTTAAAATAAACTCTTATGGCTTTGGATTTTTCCCCTTGCATAATTATAGATGTTTCTAATTATACAGCCAGTTAATTTTTATTTAATGCTGCTAGATATTTTGTTTTTACTAAGCTGTTTCTTGTTGTGTTTGTACTGATGTAATATGTAATTAAAAACTTTTTTAAAACAAATGTCAAGTCACTCTGGTTGAAAACTGGAAATAGCAATATACTGAAATTGAAAAGGAGGAAGTTATGCTGCATCGTTATATAAGATAAGATTTAGCATTTTTAAAAATACTTTGCACTGGATTGTCAGAATTATGGATCATGAAACAATCACACAGTCCCCAAATTCATAAAAGTGAAACTGAGAACTTAGATGGAGCTCAGCCTCTCCTACTTGCTGCCTACTGGATGGTGACCACTGCCCTAGAGCAACACAAAATCTTGTTTTGCCTGCACAACAGGTAGCCCACCAAGCATTGTGTAATCCATGGGTTTTTTTTTTAAGGGTATATTTGGAACCATTGCAATTGCCAACTCCAGTACTGGTGTGACTCCACTAGCTACAAAACATCCATGCAGCAGGTATTTCTTGGTGGCCCAGAAAGATTTTTAATTTTCTAATGTGCCTGTTTCTCTTCTTGGCTTAGAGCATCCCCTCCTGACTGTGACTAGGAGCAGCATACAATAAAACCAACAATTAAAACGTTATACAAAAGCCACGTAACATAAATATTAAAAAGAAAGAAATGAAATTAAAAGAAATGCATCACAATATTATTATACATGATACAGCCAATGCATAGGCTCCCTATTGGCAGGGGATTCCCAGGCTCGCTAAAAAACCTTAAACTTGGAAAGTCAATATATAGCCTGGGCCATCTTGAGGGCCATGATGTTCCAAAAGGTGAGAGTCCCTTCTGGAAAGACCAGTCTCCTGGATCCCATCAGATGGAAATCTTGAGTGAATTGGATCTGCAGCAAGTTCCTCCTGCCAAACCTGATGGGATGGATAGATGTAACAGAGTGGCAACTCCTGACATAACCTGGCCCCATGCCTTCTTGAGCTTTAAAAGACAAACCCTTGGTTGTAAAGTTATGTTTTCTTCACACCTGTAACTATGATTGGTCACTGAATGAGGACTACCTGTTATGTTAACTACATCTTGTAATTTATGTTGTAAAGCTCTAGTGTTGCATATGAAGCACCACCAGATGGTAGTATTGTTTATTGTGTCACGTTTTTCTTCTTTCCAACCCAAAAGAATGCAGCAGATGTTATGTAATTTCTAGGTTCAGTATTCTGCCCTTCACCTGTCTCTTAGCATGGTAACTCTCTAAATCAGACAGCACTGAAGTAAATTGAATACAGGGAGAGAAGCCAGTTCAAGAAAGTCTGAAAATGGGCCAGATTAGACTAGGGACTACAGAAGAAAAAAAGTTGAGAAGAACTTCTGAGGGAAGATGGGACGCAATTAAGTAGTACCTCGGAAGGTTGGTGTCTGCTCCATTCTAAGCCCATCCTCCCTTCTGTTTACATAACTCAGGGCACAGCATATACAGTTTGCCTGCTGCTTCCCAGTGCACACAAATACATGGATACTACAAGAAAGACATGTATGCCCATGCAACACATTACTTCATTACAAAGAAAAAAATACAGTTGTCTATGGTCACTGCTGGCAGGTGGTGGGAAGGATTCTGGAAGTCTACCTTGTGTTTTGTTCCAATCCAATTACATGTTGGGATTCTTCTTTTATTCATTTATTTGTTTCTTGCCTCTTGTTTTCACAAATAACTCACAAATAACCCTATCCTTGATATCCATATCAACCTCCTTTCCTCCTATTTTCCCCACAACAATAATCCTGTGAGGTTGGCTGGACTAAGAGTGACTGGCCTAAGGTCACCCAGCTGGTTTTCATGGCTAAGGCTGCACATGTCTTTTGTTTTCTAGCCTGGTGCCTTAACCACTAGACTAGATCAATCTGTATCCATCAGCAAGATAACACCCTGTAAACAATGAAATCAAATCACATGAGGGGCAGGGATGGATAAGAAAAGGCAATCCTGAATTTAAAAATGGGTTGGATCTTGCTAGAAGCTGCGGAGAAAAACATTCTCCAAAGTTTCTTTAGTGTTTCCTTATGAGAGAGTCTGTTGGCAGTAGCTGCATCCTAAGTCCTCCACCCATAAACTCAAGATCCAGACAGTTGGCCAAGTGCTACCACCTGCTGAGATATCTTTCTAATGTTTCTTAATTACTTAAAACTTGTTTATTTGTTTTACTTTATCCAATATGCCTATTCCACAGTCCACTTGCTTTCTTACCAGGAGCATATTTCTTTTTTCTGGGTCAATTTTCACTTAGTTTTCATCCAGACCATTATTACTAAAAAAACATTCCAGGACATTAAAATTTCCCTGATAGTAGATGAAAAGGCAAAACAGTCCCCCGCGTATCCCAATGAGCTTACCCAATGGTTTCATTTAGGTGTTGAATAATGTGGGATGTAAGAATGGATCCCAAGGAGCACTGTGTAGTTCATAAACTGAACTTTTTATATCCAACTTCTGAAGAAGGATAGGAAGCATTTAGAAGCATTACTTTCTGAACCATAAATCCCTATGAAGAAGTTTGGAAGACTATGATGATCAAAGGGAATGAACATTGCTGAGAAAACCAGTAAGGAATGTTCCACTCGACTACTTCCCCACTCCACCAGACAGTCTGAAAATATCCTAGTACAGAATCCAGAACTGAAATCAGACTGAAGGGGTCTTTGGCGCTCTCTGAGCTTAGTTATTTTCTTGCAGATGTTTCATGGCCCAAACTGGATAACATCAAAGTTAATTCATCAGTGCTAGCTCATTAGCACTTATGACCTAGTTAGGTAAGGAAACACCTGCAAGGAAACAACCAAGCTCAGAGAGCGCCAAAGACCCCTCATTTCTATAAGCTATAAATATTCTCCTTTATTGAAACCAGAATGCAATAGGGAAATTTAATCCAATTGAAATCTGAATTAAAATGAAGGCTTAAATAAATATATGAAGAATTTAAAACTTGGCAAAGTAGTTTTTTCTCAGCTTCCTAAATGCTGGGAGAGTGTGGGAAAAGGACATTTCTCATGGAGATGTATTTCCTAGCCTGGGAGCCATAAGGAAGATGTTTTCTTGCAGAAGTGGGTTTTCTGCTGAACTGAGAAGCCAGGCAAGTACAAGCGGAGAGTCATCTTCAGATATTGAGGCTCCAGCATTTAGAGATTTATTTATTTATTTATTTTATTTGTCAAGCAATTATAAGATAATAGGTATAAGTATATACATAGTTATGAATACATGAAATGGGTACATATAAGAAAAATAAAAGAAACAATAGGACAGGGATGGTAGGCATGTTGGTGCGCTTATGCTTACGCCCCCTACAGACCTCTTAGGAAAGGGGTGAAGTCAATAGTAGACAGTCTTAAGGTTAAAGTTTTTGGGGTTTGGGGAAGAAACCACAGAGTCAGGTAGATGAATCAATCTCAAAGCTTTGAACTCTGTCTGATGGATAACTGGCAGCCAGTGCAGTGTTTAAGTTACCATATGATTTGTGTATCTTGCATCTGTCCACAACTTAAGACACTGCATTTGCACCAATCTGGACACTTGAAAAGTATGCTAGCTGGGATTGCAGTGTGAAGAGACTTCAGCATCTCATAAAAGAGATTGGCCAGAAAGAGCAGAGTTTGTAGTCAAAACTGCTTTATAGGGATTCCCACTGTTTGCTTTATGTGCCTTCTTTGAGTTACTTCACATACTTCCATTTGATTAGATGCTCAAGACTGTCACCGCTTTCAGTTCCTGATCCTTTTTTTTTTTTGGCTTTCTGCTTTTCCTTAGAATTCAACCACACCTGGAGGTTTGGCTTCCATTCTAAATGTAATTCCCTAATCAACTTGTTCTTTTAAAAAGATAAGCAGCAGTCTGAAGAAATCTTTGTGCAAATTGCTCTGTTACTTTTATATCTCTGCACACATATTTATTCTGCATAAATTCTAATCTCATAAAAATCTCTTGAGGTTCTTGCTTACTTTATTATGCTCTACATCTAGTCCAGCCTCAGAGTAATTTAAGGATTATGTACACTTTGTTCAGAACTCTGAAACTATTATTGAATCTTGCTATTTGTTCTTTTCCCTTTGACACCTGACAGGTAAAAGATTAATCCAGAAATGGATTGCTCTCAAATATTTCTGTTCATCCTTGTTCAACATTAACTTTGGTCCATTCTGATGTCTCTCTTAATATCAGGCAGAGAATATAAAAGATCTGGAAAGCAACTTTAAATGTCTAGCCAAGTATCACTGTTTAGCTACCTTTTAACCTACTTCTATGCAAAATCCTTAGAGTTCAGACTGAATTTTTGCCTCTATTTAACAGCAGTTAAAAGCTTGGAGAATAAAATAAGTTTGTTATGTCCACAGTCTAATTCTCTATAACTTTGTACATGTCCACATAGGATTGTGGACATCTACTATTTGAAGTGATATAGGGTTTCCTGCCTGGGCAGGGGGTTGGACTAGAAGACCTCCAAGGTTCCTTCCAACTCTGTTATTCTATTCTAATCACTGCTAACTTTAACTAAGAATACACACCAGGAACCATGATCAATGCAATATAAGTGACTCAATGAAATTATAAACTATTAAATTAATACTGAAAATCTATTTTAATTAACCAATTCCTTATTTAAAATATAATTTATGAGTAATTAATGATAAACTGGAAAATCATAATGTTTATAGTATTTTAGATCCTTTGTTTACTTATTTGTATTTTATTTTTTATTCTTTTTACTTACTCTTTAACTTTCTTTTCTTATACTCTTACTTTAAAAAGCCTAATTAAAAGAATAATAAAGAAACTGTCCACATAATCACCAGGATCAAGCTTTACCTGAGGGAATCGTTTACATTTTCAAGCTGCACACAAATTATGGAACAATAATGTTCTGTTTCTTTTCATCTCCAAAACCAACTAATTGTTTTAAGCCTACCAAAAAAATTGCCACCTTGCAATTAATCATGCAGTTTATCACCCACCTTATCATGTCAAGAGTGGCTCCTTCCTTCCTTATTTGGCATAGGATTAAATTCTTTATTTTCTAGATACCTCTCAGTTCCCCATTTTATAAAACATGCAGTAGTATAATAAAAATGCTGAGAAATCTAAACTCTAATCATTATTATTTCTGTGGCAGTTTATTTAATATTTCCACCATGAGCACAAAACAGCATCTACCATAGGCCCCAGCCTATTTAGTCTTCACAGCAATTCTGTAGGTGTGAAAAAGTACAAGAGAATAACTTTCAGATTTCTAAATTTGGATGATTGTTTGGGCTAATTGTTCCCCAATGTAGAAGTATCTGTTTTTGGAGAACAGATTTGTTCGGCATGTGACATCATTTTCAAAAAAACCTCTACCACATCAGTGATCATCTTAAACAATACAGGTAGTCCTCAACTTAAGACCACAACTGAGCCCAAAATTTCTGTTTGCTAAGTGACACATTTGTTAAACAAGTTTTGTCCCATTTTACAATCTTTCTTGCCACAGTTGTTAAGTGAATCACTGCAGTTGTTAAGTTAGTCACATGGCCGTTAAGTGAATCTGGCTTCACCATTGACTTTGCTTGTCAGAAGATCACAAAAGGGGATCACAAATGATCCCAGGACACTGCAACCTTCATAAATATGAGTCAGTTGCCAAACATCTGAATTTTGATTACAGGACCATGGAAGTGCTGCAATGGTCATAAGTGTGAAAAACAGTCATAAGTCACTCTTTTCAGTGCCATGTAATTTCACACAGTCACTAAATAAACTAAATAAATAAGTCGAGGACTACCTGTAACATACTCACATATATACATGTGGTCTAAAGGCATACTGCAATACCATATTTGATAAAACGGAGAAGGAAATTTTGAAAGCCTGCAGTTACATTGAGATAGAAAGGGTAGTAAAATCATGACTGGTGAAACTGGAACTTCTAAGATAATTTTGGAGGGTAAATTTCTTGTTGGGTGTGGTTCTTGGTTTTAAGGTGTATTTTCTGGGACTTACATAAATCTTGATGACAAAATCTCAACAAATTTGCAATGAGATTACCATATAAATGCTGCCATCATATGTTCAAACATCTGGCATAAATAAAAGTAGCTGCCAGATTACAGCATTATCCAATTATCAGTTGTGCTCAAGATTTACTAACTATTCATATATTTGCTGATATCAAATTAATGCCATGTGATGTGAACTATAAATTCCTGTACAGAAGATGTTAATTCTCATACATTTATTATTCCCCAGTCCTGCCTGCTCATTTCCAGAACATGTTTACTGGTCAGTAACTAGCAATAAAACAGCCTGTCCTTTTACTATCAGTGTGACTAGATGCAAGACACTGCTCCATAGTTTTGCTGGGAAGTCCTAGGAGACTGGCTGATAAACAGATACTTGCTAAAGCTCATTGAGTATTATGTCAGTTCAAACCACAACTGAAGCTTCTATGTGAAAGAGGGAGAAAGAGAGAGAGAAAGCCCAGCATCAGAGGGGCTGTCCAGCTGTCAGTCAGCTGCTGCCGTCTAATGCATCCAGGAATGTGCAGGATTTGAGAGCAATAGATTTCAATAACACTGTGCTACTGGTTTTTTTAATATTTGTTTTCTTTTGATTCTGTAAGTAATATGGCCATCAAAACTGCTATTCCTTGATGGTCCTTTCTTCCAAAAGTATGTCCAAGCTTCAGATAGCATCATATGTATCAAATTCCAAACGTTAGTCTTGTACTGTGTAAATCAAAACAAACAAAAAACACTTATTCTGAATCTTACCAAATTTATTGAATCATTTGTGAAAGATGTTTCTTTCCATCTATGTTTTCTATAAATTGATAAATTTGTATCATGCCGCATTGTATTGTCTTTTTTTCTAAATTAGAAAGTCCCAAACACTATACTCTTTCCTTGGAGAGCATTACTCTGTTTTTGCTTGGTGAGGGGGACAGAGAAGCTCCCCACTCTTACACACACAAACACACACACATGCACACTTTCCCAATTTGGAAACCATACTGGCTTAGTCAGCAAGAACTGTGTCTGTCATGATGGTTCCTGGATATTCATTCATTCATTCATTCATTCATTCATTCATTCATTCATTCATT